GCCGGTGCTGATGGGCCTGGACCCACGTGGGCAGCAGTAGGGAGGGAAGTGGGCAGCATCCGGCCACGTTTGGAGGGAGTGGACACGAGGTGGACCCACTGAGATTGTCCGACGTGCATGCTGGGCCTCAGCGTCCTGGCAGGGGGGCGGGCAGGAGAGGACCCTCAGGCGCCCAGGAGGCCTCCGGACCCGCAGCCTCCTCCCGCAGTGCCTGTGTTAGCTCTGGGGAACCCACCTCCCTAAGTGTCCGCAGTTTTTAAGAAGCTCTGATCCAATGGGACTCTTCCTAGGCCTTGGTAACATTCCCTGGGCCCAGAACCTGCACCTTTCTGCCAGGCCTGAGGCTGTGAGGCATGGGATATCCCTGCCCTTCACCAAGGCCCCGTACACTGGGCTCCCGTCCCTACTCCCTGCTGAGGGCTCTCCACCCCTGCCCGCTTCTCTCCATCCGCCTGTGCCTGGAATCGTTCGGCTCCTGGTTAGAACCGGGCATGAAGCACCAGTCACTTGGCCCCAGGGGCCTGGGCCGAGAGGTGAGGCCGCAGGGCTGGAGGCAGCCAACGGGCGGTCTGGGCCAGGCCGCTTCTGTGCGCAGTGCCTTGGTTTCCTCGTCCTTAGGCACCAGCTGGACCAGAGACCCTCCCAGCCTGGCATGAGTCCTGTCCGCCGGGGCCTGGGCGGGGCCCCATCACCAGAGGTCTCACGGTCCACCGCCGCCGCAAGGTCAGGCTTCAGACCCAGCCCAGTCTGCTGGGGGTGCCAAGCAGGGAGAGTGGGGTGTCCCCACCGTGGCCCGAGCTGCCCTGCTGCCCGGCAGTGGGAAAGTCTGAATCTGTTGCTAATTCCTCTGTTATCGGGCCCTTATCCGGCTGCTGTGTGCCGCCCAGAGGCCAGGGTCCTCCCTGGCAGCGCCATGCCCCCTCCCGCCCACCGGCTGACCAGGGCCAGCCTGGGGGAGGTCTTTGTCTCCTGCCCGCACTGCCTCCCCAGGCCCCGGTGCCCCAGTCCTCTCCCTCCAGCCAGGCCCCTGGGCCCTGCAGCCCCATCCAGCCCCGCCCCCAGAGGGGCAGGTGCAGCACCTCCCTGGAGAGTGGAAACAATAACAAGTCATAACAGTAACTACAGGTCTGTGCTCAGCACCCACAGCACCGCCTGGCTGACCCTTGACCCCAGGCTGCTGTCAAGCCCCCTTTCTGTGAGGAGACCAGGCTCGGGGAGGTGTGGCCTGCACAAGGCCGTGGGCCCCGGTGTCCTGCTGTTCCTTCTGCCTGGAATGCTTCTCCTCAGTTGCAGGCAACCTTCTGTCTTGCTCTAGATCGTCACTCGTCGCCTCCTTCAGGAAGCCTTCCTCTACTGGCACCTCCACCTCTCCTCGGTAGCTGTGGCCACACTTGCATTGTTTGTGTTTCTTTCTTGGAGGGTGTGTCTTGGCTACTGCGGGGCCTCCAGGGCCTGGTGCAGGGAGATTGACTCAGGGGCGGTTTCATGAGTGAATGAAGAAAGAGGAGTGAGCAAGTGATTGAGAAGAGACCATGGTGCTCGGGGCTGCACACTGCAGGCTGTGCCCAGCACCACCCTCCCAGCTCTACAGCCCCCCGGGCAGGCCAGGACGTGGGGAAGGAGCAGGGCCGCATGCCCACCACAGTCCACCCCACCAGCGGGCCTGCAGTCAGGATCGGACCCAGACACAGGAAGAGGCGTGGCAGGTGCCCGCACCGCTGCTCCTCCTCTGTGCGCCGGGAATACAAGGACTTTCCCCGAGAGGCGTAAGTGGTTGTGTGGCGGGCAGGCGTAGAGCGGGGCCTCGGGGAAAGACCCACACTCGGGGTCGGGCGCAGGGTCCAGGCAGGGGGCGGGCAGTCTGCAGGTGCCAGCGGGGGCTTCTCGCCCGTCCAGTGCTCCCAGCCACCCCCTTTGCACCCTGCCAGACAGGTCCACCCAGGGGCCACGGTCAGGGGATTTCGTCCCCTCCTCGGCCACAGCTCCAGTGTCTTTGGGGCAGGAGGACCCCCGGCTGCCTCGGCATCAGAGGCAGGAGGGCTGTTAATAGTCGCCGGCCCAGGACTTGGGAGGGACTCGGGAACATCGTGCGGCACGGAGCCTGTCTCCGTAATGCAGTTTTAAAGCATGAAAAAAGGGAGTTGATGAAATTTCGCTATCAGTGCCAAGCCAATATGCAAAATATCTCACCCCCAATCAAATAGCTATTATGCTTCCATTTCCGTTTCAGCGTCCGGCTTAACGAGCGGGAGACGGGTTGGCTTGCGGGGCGTCTGCTTGCCGTGATAACCAGGGGGCTCCGGGCAGCGGGGGCCGCGCCCAGCACGGCCCCGGCCTCCGTGACCACCGTCATCACCCATGGACGCCCCCAGACGGGTGCTCGGCCTTGTGCCCGGCCCTCTCACCCCGCCGGCGGCAGGGCCAGTGTTGGCCTCGGCCCAGCTCGCCCGCGGGCTCGGGGAGGCGTGGGGGGTGCCTGGTGCAGAGGAAGGCAACGGCCTGACCAGAGTCCGGGGGGCAGCACGTGGAGGGGCTTCCGGCCGAGGGCCATGGGCGGGCCAGTCCACCTTGCTGGGCCTTCGTTGGCTCAGCTGCAGAGTGAGTGTGACACCACTGGGGTGCCGAGGGGCTCCCAGGACACCTGCCCTTCGAGACTGGCATCAGGGCCCGCCTCCCACGGCCCTCCACAGTTCCTCTGTGCGCCCCATCTGCCTGCCCGGGACTGCGCCCCTCCCCCACATACCTTCCACACGGGCTGCGGGGCAGGGCAGGGCAGGCCCACCCCCAGGCCCTGCTGGGAGGTGGGTGGCAGTGGCTGGTGGTGGTGACGCCCGGCCCTGAGCACAGCTCAGCACAGGTGAACATCGTCCTGGGGGGCAGGAGCTGTTGAGGCTTCCGAGCACAGGGAGGTGGTGTGACTTACCCGCGGTCACACAGCCAGAGCACCACCTGCCTGGCCACGGGTGGGCCTGGCCCACAGTTGGGGTATCTGGGCAGATTGGGTCCCACAGGGGCCAAGCAGGGTCCTTCCTAGCACTGTCACCCCACCAGTGGAGAAACCTTCCTGTCCAGCCCCTGCTGGAGCAGGGACCCAGGTGCCCCCGTGTGGCCCTGGGAGTGTCATGGGGGCTCCAGTGGGCTGAGTCGGACACGGGGCGGGATTCGCCCGGTCACACCCCGGCACATCCTGCCTGTGGACCCCCAGCCGCTTGCCAGTTGGCAGTTGTCTCCTGCGCTATCAGAGCCGGTTAATTGTGCTGGATGAATTAGCGGCATCAGGATAATTGCTGCGGCCGCAGTCTTTCTCCACGCTCCTGTCACGCTTTGTGCGGAGCAGGTGTCTTTGTTCTCCCATAAACGTACCCGCCGTGAGCTCTGGGCCTCCCTGGGTGGCTGAGGCCCACCTGGGTGAGTGGGGGAAGCGTCAGCTGTGTGCCCCAGGGCCCTGCTCCCTGCAGCCCCTGAAAGCAGGGGCTTCTCGCCCATTCTCCAGAGCTGATACCCAAGGTCCTGAAGCCCCATGGCATCAACAAGGGGCCCGCAGCTCCAGGGCATCCCCTCTCCAGCTCTGAGTGAGGCACGGACACACCAGGGCTTCTAGAAAAAGGCCGCAATCAGGCCGACACCAGGCCTGTGTGCTGTCTGCCAGGGCCATGGTGACCGGCAGTGCCCGCTTGGGCTGGCCCCACAGGCCAGAGGCTAGGCCCGCTACGTGCCAGAGGCCATAGAGGGTCAGGCCTCCCGCCTGCCTCCGGGGGCACAAGTCCGGCTGGTCTGGGGTGCGCCCAGCCCTCCGCGGAGCCTGCTTGTGTGGGCACATGAACGAGAGATCATGCAGCTCAACCCAGGGCTGGCCGGTGTGGTCTGAGCCCGGCCACAGGGAGGGGAGGGGAGGGGAGTGCCCGCCCACCCTCTGCCTCCTGTAATTACAGCTCCGCGGTGTCCCAGGGAGGCTGGGATGCGTGGGTCTGTGGGTCTGTGGGTCCAGAACTAGACAGAATTCAGAGGGCTCCGGCTGGGAGCTCGGGGTGCTGGAGGCAGGGCAGGTGGAGCTGGGGAAGGTGATGGGGCAGGAGGCAGCCCCACCCCCAGGACCTGTCTGGGCCCGAGGACCCAGCTGAGAGTGATGGAGCGGAGCACGAGGGAGTTCTCGCAGCAGGCTGAGGAGGGACAGCGGCTCTCCACTGTTCTTTCTGTCCACCGCACTGGCACTGTCCCTCTGACCCTCCCAGGTGGTCTGGACTCAGGCCGCCTGCACTCGGTCTGCCCTCTCACTGTGGGGTGGGCTCCATGGGGCACTTCCTGCACAAGCCTTCAAGGGAAGGTTGGATTTAGGGGGCCCAAGGCCTGCCGGACTCCAGCCCCAGAGGCTGAATGCAGACACCTGTGCGCCCACCTGTGCCCCATCAACCACTTATTCCTTTAATCAGGTTCTCTGAACACTTCCTGTTTGTCAGCCCCCACCCCAGGCCTGCCCCCTACAAGCTCCCAGAACTGAACCTGAGTGTGGGGCTTCCTGGAGGTGGGTCCCAGGCACAGGGCATAGCTGTGCAGAGGCCCAGGACTGTGGATGTGCACCGGGGCCCTGCGAAGCCCAAGTGCCTACCTGCATTCCTGCAGCCCCCAGGGGCTCCGGCCCAGAGGAGGCTGGTGCTGCTCCCACGCTTGGAGCAGAGGGGAGGGGCTGGGAGCGTCGTCCAGGGAAGAGAGGTCTGTGGGGCCAGCAGAGGCTGCAGAGTAGGTGAGCTGGATGGGAGGCAGGGTGACCCCCCAGGCGTTGGACCCGGTGCAGGGCTTGGGGTTGATACAAGGGTGAGGTTCACATACCAAGTCTTGGGGGACCCCGAGGTCACCCCCGTGCTAATGGCCGCCCCCTCGAGGACTCTGACCATGTGGGGCAGCCTAGCCCTGCCCGTGCCCCCTTGTGCCTGGTACCAGGGCTGTGCTTGTGCTGGGACAGGTCAGGAGACCGGCGGCGGGGGTGCGCCGTGAGCAGACACCGCCTCACGACTCCCTTCGGGCTGTGTCCGCAGGTTCCCTTGGAGACATGGAGGCCAGAGAAGAGGCCCAGGCCGCGGACACCAGCCTCCTGGAGCCACTGGAGCCAGAGGCCACGGGGCAGCCGGAGCTCCAGAGCCCTTCCAGCCCAGGCAAGTTGGGTGGCGGGTGCGACAGACCAGGCTCTGGCACCCCAACCCCTTCCCCGTTCCTCACCTGTGACGTTGCTGGAGCCATTTCCCACTGAGGACTCGGTTTCCACACCTGTGAGATGGGCATGAGCTTGCGGGTGTCTGTGGGCTGGCTATGCCCACTGGGGCCAGGGAGGGGGCTGAGAGGGCCTGGAAGAGGTGACACACACATTTTTGGAGGGTCTTCGTGGTGCAGGAGGGGAGAGCGAGGCCCGATGGGGAAGGTCTAGTCCAGAGTTGTCAGGGAGTCATAAGGGCACTGAGTGACCTCGGGAAGATCACGGCCCCCAGCCTCAGTGTACCCACTGTGAAACAGGGTCATCTGCCTCAGCACATGTGCTGCTCAGTACATAGCAGGTTCTCCTGTTAGGGCACTTCAGCCCATTTTACAGATGGGAATGAGGCCTGGAGAGGTTAAGTGACTCGGCCAGGGTCACACAGCCTGCAAGCACTTGAGCAGGATCTGACCCGAAGTCTGGATTCGGGCTGGCCCCTCTCCCCTCTGCCTGCCCTGCCCCGGGCCCCTGGAGCCTCTCCTTGGGCCCTCCTGGTAGCGGTCTCTCTGGGGGGTTAGTGGCGCACTTCTGAAGCTGAGAACAGGGCTTGGAAGGAGAGACCCTCAAGCTCACCAGAGGGTGAATTAGCTTGGCATCAGGAGGCCTGCTCCGGCCAGGTCCCTGGCGGGGCTTCAAAGCTGGGCCAGTCTCTCGGGCTGGCTGTGCCCCCCGAAGACCCCAGGAGGAGGGGCCTCACTGAGCTGGAGGCAGTGGGGGAGGTCAGTACCCTCACCCTTGTTTTCCAGAAGATGGAGCTGAGGCTGAGGGGTTCATGGAGGGAGGACAAGGGGTCTGGGCTCTGCCCGGTCACCTGCTGTGAGCCCCCAGCCCCCTTCTGCCCCATCCCCCCTGTCGGCAGTGGGCATCGAGCTCCCACCCCATCCAGTACCCCCGAGCCCTGTGTACAGAAGCTGAGTTAGCCCCGGGCCATAGTCCAATAGGGGAGACATGGCCACAAGCAGGACTGTTTAGGAGGGTGGTAAGTGGGTGGCTTGACCAGGAGTGAAGGAGAGATGGGGTAGGGGCGGCACTGAGCAGAGAAGGACGTGTGGAGCCTGTGCTGCACACATCTACACATGCAAAGGCCCTGAGGTGGGACAGACAGGGGACAGCAGGAGAGCCCCTCAGGGCTGGGATTGGGGGGCTGAGATCCCAGATAGACAGGGGGCTTCTCCCTGTGGACCCCATCCCCAGAATGTCCCTGTGGACCCCATCCCCAGAATGTCCCAATGTCAGAGCATCAGTCGCCTCAGGATGGCCACAGGTGCCCAGCAAGCCCCATCTTCTGACACCTGCTGGCCCGTGCCCTTTTCCCCAGTGGCAGGCCCACTGGTGTCACCAGGGCAGTGCAGTGAGAAGGAGGTCAGGCCAGAGGGACTTGAACCCAGAGCCGGGCCTCCAGTCACCCTTGGCTCCCTGGGGACAGCGGGCAGGGTGGAGGGTCAGGGGCCTGGCCTCAGGGGCTTGTTTGCAGGCCTCACTATCTCCGCGGTCATTGTCACCACCACCATGCTGCAGGCAGCCTCTCCCCAGCCTGTCGGCCTTCACATCCGTAACTGGGGGAGCACCTGTCCGGTGGCCCAGGCAGTGGGGGCCCCATCACTGTCACCATCACCATCCGGTGCTGCGCACTGACGGCGGGGGGGGGGGCGGCTCTCCAAAGGGCAATGGCTGGTTTCGGGTGGACTTTGCCCCCAGGAGCCTGGCCCCTTATCTGATCTGGGAGCCGGGCTGCTGGGGTGGGGGTGGGGGCGGGGCGGGGAGGAGCTGGAGAAAAACAAGCGGGGCTGCACCTGGCACAGGCCGTGGTGATAACGCGCCGATGGGCGCGATAAGGCGGCAGGAGCGGTATCTGCTTGTCAGGCGGGCCCAGCGCGGCTCCCGCGCAGTGGCTGGAGCTCGGGTGCCAGCCACTTGATTTATAGCCAAAAATAATAGGACTTTTATACTGTGTGATTGATTTATTCGATGTTAATCACGGCCCTTATCGTGGGGATTAATAATCTGCCCGGTGCGTGACGTCACCATGGGGGCTGTTATGGGAGCTCATCGACCGGGGACCGCGGTGGTTATCGGGCCGGTGCGGAAGGCAAATATGCCCTTT